CTATGTCAACCGTTTTCTTGTCGTGTGTGGACGTGAACTTGCAGTCAAGATCAGCATCGCATTTCTGCCACCCCCTGGGATATGTACTGTTCCAGCGGTAAGGGCCAAATCCTTCCTCTTCTACATGAAATGTCACCCTTGCTTGCTCTCATGTATATTTTATAAGACTACCTAGGCGCGGATAGTTATTCGAGCGGCTCGGAACACTTTCTCTTTCTCCCCTGTTCCGACTCTCACGACAGAGGCGGGAACATGCCCATGTCACGTTCACCGACAATGACTTCTGCCTCTTTCCTCCCTCTCACAAGGTCACACTGCTGAGTCACCAGCTGGATGGCAAGCGTTGCCTGGGTTTGCGTCAGCTGGCAGCAGGACCCGGACGTTGTACTGAAGAAACAGAATTGTTTATTACGTAACGTCAGCCTTCCTCAACAATATCATCCGGCTGTTGCAGTCCTTGCTCAGTGACTGCCCTGGCCAACTCCATATCCCCTTCGGTCCTACTGGGAATGACAGCTCCTCCCCTCCTCCGCCATTTCCATCTCAAGTCTCAAACCCTTTACTTTCACTTTTGTGTGTATGTGTATGTGTGTGTGATGTATGCACATGCATGTGTGTCTGCTTGTTCATGTATGTGAGTGTAGGTATACGTGTGACACAGTGTGTACACATAGGTCAGAGGATGGCCACAGGAGTCAGTCTCTGCCTTCTATCTTGTTTGGGACAAGATCTCCTTCTTGTTCATTGCTAGGTAAGTAAACCCATGTGTTTCTTGGTCCTCTCTTGCATCCACCTCCCAGTTCACCATACGAGTGCTGCAATTACAAACACATGCTACCATGGCCCGCTTTTATGTTGGGTTTGGGTACTTGCCTAGCAAAAGGTTTACTAGCTGAACCATCTCCCCAGACCACCCTCAAACTGTTTTAAGTGTCCTCCCACTGCCGACCAAAGTGCACCTAGAAACAAGGATGTCCGTTAGATACTTTCAGCGTAAGATTCAAACACCATTGAACGGCAGCCTGTATAGTTCCTTCTAACTTTCTGGCTTTTGCCTGCATCCTGCTTCACTCCCGCCATTTACTCAGCAGTAACAACTGTTGATGTCGTTATCACTGGTGGTTTTGAAGTGCACCCTGTACACAGGCATCTTTATCCGGATGGAGCTGAGGGTTTATAGGAGCAATAGAGTACGAGCTGGGTGGGTGCACTTTGTATGTATGTGTATGTACATGCATGTGCATGTGGAGGTCAGAGGTCATCATTGGGTGTCCTTCTTCAGAAACCATCCACCTCATTTTTTCTTTCTGAGGCAGCTTCTCTCAAACTCAAGAAGTAGACTAAGGTAATGAGTTGTGGAGCCCCCACGATCTGCCCGTCTCTACCTCCCCAGCATTGGGATTATAAGTGTGTACCACCATGCCCAGTCTTTGTGTGTATATTCTGGGAGCTTTGACCCCCACTTAGAAAGCACATTACTGACTGAGCCATCGCCCCAGTCCCATGGGTAAAGGCTTTCTTAAATATGATTCCCCAAACCCTCCAAAGATGAAAATAGGTAGGTTGATCTTCATTAATGTCTTCTACTGTTTGACAGACATTGTTTTTTTTTAAAAAAAAAAAACCATCTGGAAAAATAAGCCACAGACCGGGAAAATATTCACAAAACATACATATGTACAATGAAAAGCTTGTATTTAGGATGTATGAATAGCTCCCAAAGTGCAATAATAAGAATTCAAACAATCCAGTTAAAAACACATGAAGGATTTGGACAGTTACTTACCAAGAATACATGTAGAACACAAATAAAATCGTATGAAAAGGTGCTGAGCCTCGTTTGTATCTTCAGAAGAAATTAAAATCACCATGGATACCGGGATATTCCCAGAGTGGCTAAAATGACAAAGATTCATTACAAACATGAAGTACCTGAATTCCTGCTCTGAGGGTGGGGAGGGAAATAGCACAAACGTGCTGAATGCGTCTGCCAGCTTCCCTGAAAAGCGAAACTGATGTCTGCCACACGAGGCAGTGGCCCCACTTTCAATAACACCCCACAGAGAAATACAAGGAACACTCGCAACAGCTTTCCAGGGAATAAGTGAAAATGGCAAACATGGCAGTGTTCATGAATGAGTAAACACATTATAAGGATATAATGAGACAACACTTAACGATGAAAATGCTGACTAACTAGTATCTCAAAAAAACAAATGGATCTCTTAATAATACTTCCAAACTTATGGTATATGAAAGAAGCCAGTTGGAGAAGAAAAATAGGTGGGTGATAAATAAGACTCCATTGGTATAAATTTCTAGAAAGTGTAAGGAACCAATGCCAAGGAGATAAAGGGGGATAGAAAACAATTACAAAGAAGATATAGGAGGAATTTTTTTTTTTTACAGGGTTTCTTTGTGTAGCCCTGGCTATCTTGGAACCAACTCTGTAGACTAGACCAGCCTCAAATTCACAGAGGTCTGCCCACCTCTGCTTTCCGAGTGCTGGAATTAAAGGTGTGCCCCATCACTGCCCAGATAATATAGAGGAAAAATTTAAGGTGATAGATATGTTCATCATCTTGATTTGGTAGTAGCTTCACAATGGGTACTTATGTAAAAATTTACACAGCAATACACTTTATGTAAATAAAGCTACATCTGTGGGTATGTATGAGTGTATCTGTTATTGACTAATGATTCACCTGATTTTTTTATTATTAGCTAAAGAGTCACTCTGTAACTCGGGATGGTCTCCAGTTCGAAATCATCCTGCTTCAGCCTCCCAAGTACTGGGATTACAGGTATGTGTCAGCATGCTTGACCAAATACTTCTTTTGTTGTTGCTGTTCTGTTGTTGAAAATCATGGGGATCAGGAACAGAGGGATGAGAATTCTGTTTTGCTTTTTCCCCCACTTCAATTTCCTTGTCTAAAAAATAGGGATAATAGGGGGCTGGAGAGATGGCTCAGTGGTTAAGAGCATTGCCTGCTCTTCCAAAAGTCTTGAGTTCAATTCCCAGCAACCATATGGTGGCTCACAACCATCTGTAATGAGATCTGGTGCCCTCTCTGGCCTGCAGGCACACATGTAGGCAGATATTGAATGCATAATAAATGAATAAATATTTTTTAAAAATAGGGATAATAATAGCACTTACCATGGTAGATGGAATGCTTCATCTCTCCCCGTCATATATGTCCATATGCCAATCTGTTAGTATTCGTGAAGCTTATTAAACAAATGCAAACACACACTCACCTTTGAAAATGTGATTAAGTTAAGAATTTTCGTATAAGAATATCATTCTGGGGGCTGGAGAGATGGTTCAGCAGTTAAGAGAACTCACTTCCAGAGAACTTGGATTCAATTCTCAACACCCACCTGGCAGCTCACAACTGTCTCTAACTCCAGTTCCAGGAGATCTGACACCTTCACACCAATGCACATAAAATAAATTGTTTAAAAAAGAATATTATTCTGGATTATTCTTGTGAATCCTAAATCTAGTTATAAATATCCTAGTAAACAACAATCAATTCAAGCTCTGAGACTTCAAGAGAACCTTGTTAGAGAGACTTATGAACTGAAATTCAGGAGATACAGATTCAAATAGTCTTGCATGAGTGTTCCAAACGAAATAGGTAAAATAGGAGCATTTATGGGTCAGAAGTGCTGATTTATTGCAAAGCAGCAAACACTTGTAAGACGCTTCTATTGGAGGCTGGAGAGATGGCTCAGCAGTTAAAGCCCTGGCTGCTAAGAGGCTCTGAATTGAATTCCTAGCAACCACATGGTAGTTTACAACCATCCAAAATGAGATCTGGTGCCCTCTTCTGGCCTGTAGGCATACGTGCAGGCAGAACACTGAAGACATAAATAAATACTTCTTAAAACAGAGAAGCATCTATTGAAGCCGAGGAAGGGCAGGAGCTATGTGGCAGGTGCTGTGTAACCTATCAGCAATAAGAAGGAAATATATACATACACCTAATATCTCTTGAGCAAAGCCTGATGGTTTCTGGAAAGACACCTTAAGTCTCAAGAGCAATAGGCTCATCAGACACTGTAGCCCAAAGCTATGACTACAGCCAAAGATCATCTTCCCAGGCAGTAGGCTCAGTGAGGGCAGCCCAAGATCTGTTTCCTTACAGATGTTTTTACTCTATTTTGGAAAACCTCATTTAATTTTTATTTTATTATGATTTTTCAATTTATTTTCACATATGAGAAAAGTACAGAGAGATTTACAACAAGCAGAAGGTGGGTATCCCAGACAACGAAGAAAATCTTTGTTGACAGATTCTTGACACTGAATGCTGAGAGAATATATTTCCGTTGTTTTATACACCAAATGTGGGACAATTTGAGCTGAAACAAATTCTCAACTTCATACAGCACTGAAGTGTTATTTAAATTAAGTTTTTCTCTGCAAATTAAGTTAGTATGCTAAGCACGCAGGAGAGTTACACATAGTAAGCACTAGATAAATACTTAGTGAATTTTGCAAGAAAAAAAAGATTTCTGATGTCGATGTATCTGGTTCTTGACAGCTTTGCTTTTCTAGATTGTAACTGGTAGACTGTAAACCATAATATGGGCGTTTCTTGTAAATTTATACAATTAAATCACGATGGCTATGGCCAAAAGAACAGAATATTTAGCTAGGAGGTTCTGCAGAGCCTAGAAGTTCTAGGAAAGGAACTCTGTAAATTCTCAACATACTTGTCCTTTTGCTTCTGCATTAGTTGTTTCCCTAAACCCCTTATTCTCTAAATGCAATTTAGAACGGAATGCAGGAGGCGGGCGTTCTCAGGAGAAAAACACTTCCGTTATCTATTTGAGCCTAGAGAGCAGGTTACTAGTTTTGTCTTCAGAAAACTACGATTCCCAGAAGCCTTTGGGTCTCAGGTTTGGAAGACGCCTCAGAAAAGGGGTGGAGTCTAGGGAAGAAGTCGTTGGTCGATCCCATTATCCTGAGTGGAGGGACCACCGGGGCGGATGTGGACGATGTGCATTCTGATTGGCTGTAACTAGAAAGGGCGTCCGCCGTGGGATTGGTACTGTCTTCGGGGGGTGGAGACCTCGCGGCGACCGCTCGAATTTCCCGGGTTGGGCGCGCGGAGCCTGCCGGGAAGCTCTCGGGACGGTTACCCACCCGGCCAGCAGTGGTCCCGAGTGGGGTTTCGACATGCAGAGCACTGATCTGGGCAACAAGGAGAGCGGCAAGATATGGCACCGCAAGCCTTCGCCGGCCACTCACGACGGGTGAGGCCGCGGGCTGTGGGAACCCGCGAGGGGGCGGGTCTGCGGGAGGCTGAGAGGGGCGGTGGAGTGCCGGCCCCGGGGTTCTGACTCTGGCCCAGCGCTGCATCCCTGGGTTGGGACCTCAGGAGGAGCAAGTAGCTCCGGAAGCCATTTAGGTTGCAGATGCGTCCCAGGTTCTGGTCCTGGGTCCCAGGGAGCGGGAGGAAGGAGGAGGAGGCTCTTCGATTTATGCAAAAAGAGTTTACAGTTCTGCTAAGTGCCAGACTCCGCCTGCTTTGGTTTATTAATGACCGTTTCATCCGGGAAGAGACTCCAGGAGGTGATGGGAGCAAAGAAGGCAATGCACACCTATCGCTCCGAAAGCCGAAACTCGCCCTCCTCCAGTCATTGCACACATCTGTAATGTTGAGAGCCTAGTGTGGGCTGAGCACTGTAGGACGGTGCTGGAACAAACCTAAGTTCTGCAGTTTGCACAGAGGGGTGTGTATCGCGGGGGCTGTCAACTATGCGGGGGCCTTCTACAGCGCCTGCGCTTGTTTTAATTCTGTTTAGAGCTGTCCGCTGGGTTTGAGACTCGGCCTCCTGTGTGACGTCAGAGGGAGTCTTTGCCCCAGTGATACATTTGTTTGGTTTCCCTTGGTGCATGTCTTAGTGTTTCTGACTCCCTTGGCTTGCACGGACTTCGTGATATCACTTTGGGTTCAAGTCTCGAGGTTTGTTACTCCAGAGACTTTTCTGTTTATCTTTTAGTTGCTCCCCCAGAAATCAAAACATGTGTCTTTGTAGGCTGAAAACGCAGTTAAAAGTGTTGGGTTAGCCACTTACTTAACCACCTGGCCACTTTGGTTTCTGGTGGTTGTCCACCCTTTCTTTATCAATGCGATTGACCCACCAACCTATTGAATAAAAAAAATCTGGTCAATAGTGGAGATTCTTCAGCGTTCTCATTTCCAAATGTGAAGTTTGTTTAGTGGCACACTCTACCTCTGGCTTCTCTAAAACGTCTGAGAATTGTAGCCAACCTACCATTTCTTGCTGTTACAATCTAGATATAATCTTGCTGTTACATATCTAGGTAGGTATGTAAGATTGAAAAACAAAAAAACAGGCTATTTATTAATGTGCTTCTATGAAAACACAGCTTTCTTTTATTCATTTAAATTAGTGGTTCTCAACCTGTGGGTCAAATGGACCTCTCACGAGGGTCACCTAAGATCATTGGAAAACACAGTAGATATTTACATTATGATTCATAACAGTAGCAAATTTAGTTATGAAGTAGCAATGAAAATAATTTTATGGTTGGGGGTCCCCACTGTTTTAAAGGGTCACAACATTAGGAAGGTTTAAACCCATTGCTGGGTCAGGGAGATGGTTAGGTAGGTAAAGGTGCTTGCTGCACACATCTGGCTGCCTAAATTTAATCCCCAGAGTTCACATATTCCAGCTTCCTGCCTGCTGCTGTGTTAAAACACACTGACCAAAAGCAGCTTAGGATAGGAAAGGGTTCATTTCATTTGGCTTACGTTTCCAGGTCACAGGTCATCACTGAATGAAGTCAGGGCGGGAACATGAAACAGAAGCTACGAAGGAGCACAGCTTGCTGACCGGCCCTCTGGGTTAGGCTCAGGTAGCTTATTTGAAATACAGCTGAGGACTCCCTGCCCACGGAATGGTGCCACCCAATCAAGTCAGTCCCCTGCAGACATGCCACAGACCAGTCTAATCAAACCCTTCCTCAGCCGAGGCTTTGCTCTCAGATGACCTCCGCTTGTGTCAGATGGACAAGTAAAACTAGCAGGCGTGCACACAACTCTGCAGAGTTGTCCTCAGCCTCCACGTGTGCTGCATGGTGCACATACCCTGCACGTTGGCAATAATTACATTTGTCAAATAAAAAAAAAAGTATTGCTGTGGGTTGAGAGAGACAAAGATGAGTCAGAAGATTTGTGAAGTAGTTCCAGGTTTGCCAGCCGTATCCTCAGAGCAGGAAATCAACCCTAGTCACACTGTGTTAGCCTGAGCACTGCCCTTGGTGACCTAGTTGCATTTGCTCTACTGTTATTTTGCCCCTGTTGTTTGGTTGGTTCTTGGTACTGGTTTCATTTGTTTGTTTCATTACATTTATTTGCCTGTTTTATTGCATGCCACAGTATACGTGTGGCAGTCAGAGGACAGCCTTGGGGAGATTCTCACCTCCCACCATTTTTTTTAATGAGATTTAATTTGTATTAAAACTCTACAAGAGGCTGAAGAGATGGCTCAGGGCTTAAGTGCATTGGCTGCTCTTATGGAGGATCCAGGTTTAATTCCAAGTTCCCACTTGGTAGCTCACAACCATCTGTAACTCCAGTCCCAGGAGAATCTAGCACCCTCTTCTGGCATCTGCAGGCACCATGCCTGAGCAGGGTGCTCAGACATACATTCAGTCAAAAGACCCATACACATGAAACAATTTTTGGTTTTTGCTTTGTTTTTCAAGACAGGATTTCTCCGTGTAGCTTTGGAGCTTTTCCTGGCTCTTGCTCTGTAGACCAGGCTGGCCTCGAACTCACAAAGATCCACCTGCCTCTGCCTCCCAAGTGCTAGGATTAAAGGCATGCACCACCAATGCCCAGCTAAGTAAAACAGTTTCTAAGAGATTCCAACGATAAAATCTTCATGATAAATACTATTGTTGAAATAAAGAAGGTAGTGCTGGCCAGAGGGCACAGAAGGTGAGGGAGTTGGCCACCAAGTTTGACCTCTTGAGCTTAAAGGCAAGAACTGATTCTTACAAGTTGTCCTGTGACCTCTACATGCCAGGCATGTGCACACTCACGCATGCTCATGGGCACACACACACACACACACACACACACGTACTGTTTTAAACAGGAAGGGATTGTACTGGTTCAAGACAAGAATGAGTGGCAAGCTTTGTTCTAGAGATAAGATCTCCCTGTGTGGCTCAAGGTGAGTTCAAGGCCTCCTGCTTCCACCCCGAGTCCTGGGATTATAGGTGTGCACCACTGTGCAACCATATATATATATATATATGTGTGTGTGTGTGTGTGTGTGTGTGTGTGTGTGTGTGTGTGTATGTATTGAAGAATCATTTTGTGCTGCAAGCTTTTTTTCTTACATATTTGGTGTGTGTGTGGAGGTCGGAGGGCACCTTGTGGATGTCATTTCTCCCTCTGTCATGTGGGCCTGGGGGTCAGACTCAGGTCACCAGGCTTGGTGGCTCTGCCTGCCAAGCCATCAACTCTGGCCCAGTGCTGTAAGTTTTATAAACAGTTTTTTAGCAACTTTATGGCACAAGAGTCCTCAAAAAATAGTAAATTTAAACAAATATTGCTATACATCCTTCACAAAGTTTGCCCATGAAAGTAGTGTATGACTATTAACAACTATACCAAATAGAACAGTAGAGTAGGAGAAAGTGACCTATGTCCCTGTTCTCTGCACACACTTAGCAGTGTTTATGTGTGTATCTTTTTTCCATGTGTACACCTTTTCTTTTGCACTTTTATTTTAATTGTATGTTTGTACTTGAATTTATGTATGAGCAATTTAAAGCTCATGGTTAAGATGTTTGAATTTTCACATAACTTTAATGCATGCTATGTGTTTCTATGCAATAATATTGAAGAGTAAACTCCATTTCTTACCATTTGAGAAGTGTGATTCATGGGGGTTATGAAGAAGCAACTCAAAGCACTCCACAGGCATGGTGAGAGTGTGTTGCGTGGTGAGGTCAGGTGCTGGAATGCAGTGAGGAGCAGGTCATCCTCACAGCACATACCCGCTAGGGTATTGTGTAGTCTCTTAGAGGCAGAGATACAGCTCATGCACATTTAGCTCATTTTGGAGCATTTTATATTACAGAGACAAACTCTTAGACCCTGCTGCCTGTTCACCATAACACATACTGTTAGTATGTATCTGTAAATGACGGGATGACAGTAACCTTGTCTGTCAGTTATTCCTAGTGTCTCGTTTCTTCAGTTCTGACAGTAAGTTTTAAAATAATTAATGAATAAATGAATGCTAGCTTCTCTCATAGTAAGTGACTTTCTGAACTGTTTAGAAGTCGTTAAATGACAGACTCTAGGGAAGAGAAGGGAGAATCACAGGAAGCCCTCAGTAGAACCCTATGTGTAAAAGCTGGTATGTGATGGAGAATGTAACATTTAGATTGACGTGTTTCGACAGAATTATAGTGAACATCATTCACAGCACTTCTGAATACCATCCGAAAGTTCTGCGGTTTTTGAATGTGGCTTTTGATGGCTCAGGCGATTCCTTTATTGCTGGGGACCACCAAGGAAACATCTATACTTTTGACGTGCATGGAAACAGGTAAGCCCAGATGCTTTGGGTGTGGACCTTTCCATTTAGGAAGTTACAGACTGTTGACTAGTTACCTACCACTGATTTACAGAGCACTGCTGAATTCTTGGGAAGCTACTGTAAGCCCTGATGTAGGTTGGAGGAAACAAGGAATAAAGATTTTACAAAGTCTCGTTATGTCCCGATTGGCCTTGACTTGCTGCAGTCCTGCCTCACCTCCCCATGGCTGGCAGCCACCATCCCGACTGCTTGCTTTTTCCTTTCATTAAAGAGAAATTATATTGCATTTTATTTATTTGGTGTGTGTCTGTGTGTGTGCATGCACGTCGTGCCGCAGCTTGCACGCGCAGGTCAAGGATAACTAGCGCAGGTTGATGCTCGCCTTCCCCGCGGGCGCAGGTCCCAGGGATTGAAATTGGCCCCTTTACCACTGAGGTATCTTGCCAGCTCTACTTGCTTTTTTCTTTTATTTAAATTTTTCATTGCTGCTAATTTATTGTTAAGTTCTGGTACTTCGTTGGGCAATTTAGAAACTTGATTTCCCTTGAACAGTTTTGTTGTAGTGTATAGATCTAAGAACCACAAAGAATTACCACCGTCCTCCTTGCTCTTCCATTTAGTGCAGAAGCGACTAAGTAGGCTCGGTCTCTAAGAATCCAGGAAGGTGGGAAGGGAATCACTGGCAACCGTCTTCTTGTTGTCCAGCACAGTGGTCTCTTCAGCTTCTTGTATATAAAGACTAAATACTTCCCTCCCCCCACCCCCAGGCTTCAACTTACAGCTCTTCTGTTTTACCCACCTCCCTGATCCTTTCATCCCTGTCTTCTGGCCTCAGCCAATGTCTGCCCTGTACTTTGTGTTGCTCAGGCACCTGCCCTGGGATTGTCCTTCTGTATCCCAAGTGCTCTTTTTAATAATCTCATCCCCAGCAGAACCTTGAGTGCTTACATGACCAGATATCATGTACATGCTATAAACTCTGATTTTACTTCTAGAAATTACTCAGTGCTTTGCTTTCTGATAACCACTAGCTACTAACAGCTCTTGAACCTTCAAGAAGTGACTAGAAAGATTCGGAGTGTAATGCTGGCATACACATTTGAGTTTGAAGACTTAGTGTAAAAAAGAAAATTTGATTATTCAGGTTTTGGATATTAAAATTAATTGTATCTTTTTCTTTACTGTGACATAGCTCCTAGAAAATTTTACATTACACATATGGCCCATGTACATGTTTTTTTTTTTTTTTTGACAGCATGGCTCTAAATGTTGTACAGGGCCCTTATATTCAGCGTCTTTAAGATAACATTTAAGATTCCCTATCCTCAGGCTTGTGCCCTTTTCCCTATGCTCAGAAGCTTAATATTTTATAAATGAAATTCTAATTGTGTGCCAAGCTCTTGTAAGAACTCACTATGTATTATTTCATTTGATCACAACAAACTCTTAGGATTCCTATTCTTGTCTTTCTTTTACACTGATTCCTTCTCTTCCCCCATGGTTATTGCTTCCCAGGTCTCTTTTGGCTTGACGTAGCCTCCTCTGTGTCCCTTCCACTGTGTGCCTGTGTCTCTGGCTGATGTAGCTCGTAACTCTACAGTAACCTTTCTTCTCAGTACCTCTGTCTGTTGATTGCCATTGCTTCTATAAACATCTTCCCAAAGACTTGGCCGATTGTAATTCTGCTATGCTGAATTGACAGAGGCTTAACAATGGCTTCCCAATTGTGGCAGTAGAGTCCAGTCTCCCTAGCATGATTCTGAGAGGCAGTCCAGGCCCTGGCGTTTTCACATGATGGGAGTGCTTTCATCGTTCACAGTGGGTCTCTTAAACCTTCCTACCTATTTTTGGCCCACCATTTTCTGGGTCTCATTTTCTGCCCCAAGGACTCTGCCATTGTGCAGTTTATGATCACTGGAGGAATTTCTGACACTAATGCAGCTGTTTCTCAATAGGTTTGCTCTTGTTCAGCGAACAGCGCAGGCTTGCACAGCTCTGGCCTTTGATCTTCGCAGGAAGTCTGAGTTCCTTGTGGCGTTAGCTGACTATTCTATTAAATGTTTTGATACAGGTAAGAAGTTTGTCTTTTGAAGCAGAATAAAATATAGGCTAACAGACTGTGAGGCCCTTACCTGTCTGTGTAGTCTCAGGAGCAGTCTGATCAAGAACACTCTCACTTCAGATAGCCACAGTCTGGGGTCCATGGGCCATTCCTGCTTCAGGTTAGCTGCTCCCAGAGTCAGGGTTTCTAGTAACATAGAAAACTCAGGGGAACTTAGGAAAGCATTGTACATGTGACTGACTGCAGTCTTCTATATCATATACATTAGAGCCAGCCAGTAGGAGAGATGCATAGGGTAGTGCCTGGGAGGCTTCTAAAAGGATGCCTCTGTCGTCTTCAGTGATGAGTCCCAGCATCTGCATGCCTTGACGTGGCCAGTTCTTGCTGAGGCAAGGGGTTCACTCGAGCTTTGTTGTCAAGAACTTTCGCTGAGGTTCCGTCACACAGACTGAATTGACTGAATTATTGCGCATGTGTGAGTGTGAGGGCAGTCTGACGGTGACGCCTCTCACCCCATTATTGCCAGGGTGGAAGCATTGCCTATGTGGATGAATTCTTTTTCCAGTTCCCCCACCTTCCTAATGCTCAGTCTGCTAATGTTGCTGGTCTTTGTGGTGAGACCAGCCCCAACTCTGAGCCCTTAATGGAAGCCATTTATTTGTAACTGAAGGACGACTGAGTAATGAAGATATTTCTATCATGTGGGAAACCCCAAGAGTTCAAAGATTACTTTCCATGAATATGGACAAAAATGAGACCTCTCTTTTGAGGCCAAGTTTCTTACTATATAGTTATCCCCAAAAACCATGAACAAACAAACAAATAAAAATCCCATAAATTTCATACCACATTACTTACATTTTTTAAGTTGACATTCTGGAGGATTGTAGACTAAACCCTTTATTCTTCAATTGTAAGTGAAAAGAAAACAATTTTAATTGTATTTTTTTGTTACTAAATAACTAAATAACTGATGGTATATAATATATATATGACTTAATAATAGTGACAGTGAACATTTTATTGTATTTATTCTTTTCTAAGGACTATTTTCTGAATTTATATGTTCTCCTTTATTTTCATTCTAATAACTCACTGAGGTGGATATCGTTATCACCATTTTGCAGATGAGGAACCTGAGGCAGCAAGATAACTTGACCAGTGTTCCAGGTTTATAAAGTAAGGCAGCCAGAATTGGAACTTGGAATGTTTATAGTGCATTCCACCTGCAATAAGCAGAAATAATTATCATTTTTAGTAGTGGCTAGAAATCCAGTCAACACTGCTGGGACAAAAATTGTTTAAAAAGTTATATGCTTACAGTTAGCTTCTTTGGATGCCACCATTTTCTTCTGTCTTATCTCCATCTTTTTATAGCCTTGTTTCTCTCATTGAACCTGACACCCCATTAAGTTCCTTAGATGCTGTCTCCAGTTCCCAACTTCCTAGTCACCTTTTCTTTCTGTTTGTGGCAAATCCTGCTTCCTCACAGAATTCATTAACAGATGATGACTCTTGTGCCTCCTACACCACGATAACAAGACTCTGGTCTCCGAGGTCGTCAAGCCCCCGCCTGCCGTCCCACTCTCAGTAGCATGTAGAACTTGGGTTGAAGCTGGAGAGATGGCTCAGGTGGCGAAGTTCCGGTTTTGAGGCATGGGCACCTGAGTTCAGTTCCCATAATCCATATTTTAAAAATCCCAGCATTCGGGAGGCAGAGGCAGGCAGATCTGTTCCAGGCCGGCCAGGGAACAGGACCCTGTCTCTAAAAACCAAACAAACAAACAAAAAAACCTAGAGATTGACAAGGAAGTCTGCTGTGAGAGCAAGTCTCCTAGAAATGACAGGGAAGCTACTACACCCATGATACCTCAGCTATATGGCTGCCTAAAGAAGACCTGAGCAATGACAACACGAGACAGGCTATCCGGAAAGGATGTATCTCTCGGGCTCCACCCTAGAGACAAAGAACTGCAGCGCAGTTGACAGGCTTCTAGTTTTCTACTGTGAGGAGAAAAGAATTGCACTTCATATAAAAGGGGAGGGGCGATACTGAACAGGAAGCAGTGGCTTAAGTGGAACTTATGGGAGGCTCCCAGTGTGGTTGTCCCCTTCTTCATTTCACTGCGGGCCCACAGGAAGGAGGGAGAACAACCGCAGACAGCCGGCTGCTGGTTCCCTCAGGAGCTCGCTGCTCTGTCTTCAGTTCTGACCTACTTTGTTTCCAAGATTTATATCTCACTTTCTTTCTCTCCTTACTTCCATTTTTCTGGGAGGTAGAATTTGGGGTCACAAAAGTAATATGATATTGATGATTTAGAAACATTCAAACAAGTGTGAGAATAAAATAAAATTCACATTTAGTTACTCAGTGGTAATTATCATGAGTAGTTTTGCAATTTTCTCTACCAGACTGTTTTCTTTGTTTACACACACACACACACACACACACACACACACACGACTACCTCAAAGCCAAAACACTTGTTTATTTGTTTGTTTATTTGTTTATAGTGCTGGAGTTTTGCTGTACAGCCCCCACTGACCTGGAAGTCACTGTGTAGCCCAGGCTTCAAGCTCAGAGCTCTTCTGCTTTAGCCTGCCATGTGCTGAGATTATGGGCCACAACACGTGTGGCCTAAATTCATTTTAATTTTTATTATCTGTGTGGCTTGATTCACTTATTTCTTTTGAAATAGGATCTCTCTGTATGGTCAGAAATGGCCTCATAGTCACCATGTTTTCCAAGCTGACTTCAGGCTTACAGTCATCCCCCGACTCAATTCTTCCAAGTGCTCCCAGGTGACAGGTGTGTGTCTCTGTGCCTGGCAAAATTAATTATTTAAATCAATTTTTTTTAATCTAAGTGTGTTCTTTGTGCCTCAAACTATTTGTAAACTGCAACATAGAGCTGTTACCACGCCACGGGACTCAAACTCTAGTGCCCCTCAGTAGGGCTCACGAGATCTCCATGACTGTACGCTGCTAACACTCCTGTGGTAAATGTTAGCCGCAGGCTGCCAACTTTACATGTGTTAAAGGACATGCCTTTATGTCCCCGGTCCATTAGCTGAATCAGTCCTTGCATGGTGTTTATGTACAGTGTTTTACTAATCCATGACTGACGCTTTCCGTGTAACAATTTCACTGTCCCCACAGTCACCAAGGAGCTGGTTAGCTGGATGAGAGGGCATGAATCGTCAGTTAGTTCCATCTCTGTGCACGCATCCGGGAGATACGCCATCACTACTTCCTCAGACACTGCTCAGCTCTGGGACTTGGACACTTTCCAGAGGAAAAGAAAGCTGAACATCCGCCAGTCTGTGGGGATACAGAAGGTCAGCGATGGTGGCTTGTGCTCCTCCCACCGGTTATCGGTCACGGGATTCAGAGGGGACTGAAAGTAATGATTCGCTGTCTCTTCAGCGGCTGTGTTCTCACCGCACAGCCCAGGCAGAAGAGTTGGGTGTAGCTATTGCTTACGGTTATGATTAGAGCACTGAAATTTTTCTTTTGAATTATTATAGCCGTGAAACTTCCACGGTTGTAAGTGGGAGATTTTAAGATGTTTTAGTTTAACCCTTTTCCAGTTTGCTATGAACAGCTCTAAACATGCAGCAGATTTATAAAATCTCATAGTGAAATGGGTACCTGTCGTCTAGAGTCCTTCATTCACATGTCACTCCACTGCATAGTTTGTTACATGTTAGTGTATGATTGATCATCTGGTCATTGATTGTTATTTATGTGTTTTAAAGTAAATTTAAATTTAAATGTGAACATCATTGTACTTAAGTACTTAAGCCTACACGTTTACATATGAAATGTCTACACACTTTTGGTGAGGGTGTCAGATGCGAATGCGTGTGACCTGTGGGGTGATCCTTACTGTTGCGTGAGGAATTTTCATCATACCCTTTTTTTTCTTTTTTTCTCTTCCCACAAAGAAGATGAAATGTGCTTTTTATTGAGGATTCTGTTTTTGGTTTTGTTTTTCGAGACAGGATTTTCCAGTAACTATGGAGCTGGTCCTGGAACTCGCTCTGTAGATCAGACTGCTGGTCTCAAACTCACAGAGATCCTCCTGCCTCTGCCACCCGAGTGCTGGGATGAAAGGTGTCTCCCCTCCCCCGTCTCTCTCTCTCTTTATACATGTCAAACGTATTAAATTGAGTCTATATCTAATTAAATCTTACATGATGGAAGCCCATACAATGGGAATGACCAAAGCTGTCCTTGCAACACTGTGTTCATTTAATTAATCTAGGTGATTTCCACTAATATTTGGGTTCAGAATTAGCTAGTCTTAACCAAACAGTAAGTCTTAGCTGTCTTATGATTTTTGCTGGTAGCAATGGCCACTTGCTTCTTAAATTTATAGGAAAAAAATAACATGAGAATAAAATCTCTGCATAGTGGACCCAAATTTTTTAAAGAGTAAGGTGACCAAAAAAATATAACTTACATTCTATTAAGCATCCAGAGGGAAAACCAAAATAAAGCAGGGCAGTCAGCCATCAAGGTCTATCAAGTAATTAGCGTATTAATCCCCAGAGTGAATGGTAGCCCATGAACTGAGGGTTGGATAGAGGAGGATGGCATGCTGAGAACAAGCCAGTATTGAGTATTGCATACACAAACACTAACTTGAAAGTCCATATGGATATAGCCAACAACCACATGTGTTGAATTCTTTTTATTTTATTACACTTCTTTATGTTATTTTCTCAGTTCATAATTATATAAACATGTAGTAGGCTACTTTGCAGGGAGCATTGTCTCCTGCCCTCACTACTCAGTCGTCATATCCGTTCATGGATAGTTCCGATATCTTCTTATTGCGGTTTGGTTTATCTGTTATAAAACTCATATAAACTGAACTATTTGGTATTGACTTATATAAGGCCTGTTTTATGTATTTTATTCCTTTTATTCACTAACTAGTGTCTCATGTATAAATATACCTCCTTTAAAAAATTCATTTATTTTGTTTTCCATGTTTAATATTTTTCTCTGATTAGCTCAGTATTGTTTTTTAGTAGTATCTGTGTCTCCTGTAGATTAATTGCTTTATTTAGGCTATGTTGTAATGTGATGCTGCCTTTATTCTCTTTGTTATCAACATGAGCAGCTAATAGTGCATGTCAGCCAAAAATTTATCATGCGGTCTCCATGGAAATCCCAGAGTTCTTTAGTGTGCTTTTAATAATTAAAAAGAAGATAGAAGTTGTAGGCAGCGTGTTCATTAGGGACAGGAGGTCTTAGTAGGTCTTCCCCTCTTTAATTGCTTTAGCACTTAAATTGAATTTTAAATCCCAGAGCATAAAGAGGAGTGGGAGTGGAGCCCTCAGTGGAGATGATGTGCAGCAGGACAGTAGCCTCTGCTCTTAGCTCCGGATTTTAGTAAGTGTGAGAATCCAATTAGAGAAGGAGAAAGAGAGAGACAGTGTATGTATGTGTGTGCTGTGATGCATGGAATATATAGTAAGATAATAGAGCACCGTAGTCTCTAAGTTACCAGCAAACTCTTTCTTTCCAAGAGAGATAGTTGGGCAAACAAGATGGCTCAGCAAGAAACGCTCTTACCTGTAACATGATGGGTCCGGCTTGTTGGGGTAACTGTACCTGCCCGGTACCCCACAGCCACAAGTCCCAGAGAAAATCAATCACATAGAGATCTCTCTAAGTTATAAAGCTGATTGGCCCATTAGGTCAGTCTTCTTATTAACTAATTCTTACATCTTACGGTAACCCATAATTCTACTCTACGTTAGCCACACGGCTCAGTACCTTTCTCAGTGTGGCAGCTACATCTTTCCTCTCCGGTGGTCTGGGCAGAACTGGGAGGAACCTCCCTGCTTCCCAGAATTCTCCTGTTCTCATTGCATCATCTCTACTTCCTGTCTGGTTTTCCCGCCTATACTTCCTGCCTGGTCAATCAGCGTTTTATTAAAATACATGATTGACAGAATACAGATAATTCTCCCACACCACTTACCACCAAGCTTAATGACCTGAATTTGATCCCTGGGACCCACAGGATGGAAAAAGAGAACTGACTTCCGCAATATGTCCTCTCACCACCATATGTGTGCTATCACATATGTGCACACACAAACACATGCACGAAAATAAATATAATTTTACAAAAGCAAAGTTATATAGCCCTTTAAAATGAAACATTCAAAAATATAAACTAGCCAGGTATGCAGCCTATGCCTGTAATCTCAGCACTCCAGAGCCAGAGGATTGCCACAAGTTCAAGGCCAACTGATTGCAGGCCAGCCATTAAAAAACAGATTGACTAAATAAATAAGGTCTTCCCTCCTGGGCTATGCAAAATTTGGAGATGTCCAAATAGTTTCTGCTTCCTGATGTACAGTGTTGGAAATGGAAGTTAAATGTAACCCAGTCTTCCAAAGAAAGCTTTAATTGTGATCAAATTTTTACTGACAGGATATTTTTATTCCAAGTTTTGATTTATAATTTAAATGGAGCCTTTATTTACACTGATGGTGCTTTCACTATGAAGTTAATGCCATAATGGCGCTTTTACTCTAAACCAGCGTCCCGTTCTGATTTTCTGTGATGCCAGTGTTTTCAAAGATCACTCACCTCGGGAGAGGCCTCACAGCCTGCACTGGTCCCACCCTCATCACTGTTTAACTTGATTCCTGTCCTCCTCATTTCTTAGAAGCAGGAAGTTAGTCTAAAGGCTTGAGTAGATTCCTGGTCATCTTCCCCACAAGGTCTTTCACCCAGTGTAAGATCATAAAAGTAGCTGTGCCTACCTCAGAGCTGACTTGAGTGTTTAAGGTGATCATCTATGGAGGGCTTTACACAGTGCTTAGTAAAATTGGTGTGTGTGTGTGTGTGTGTGTGTGTGTGTGTGTGTGTATTCATGTACATACGTTTGTATGTATTTGGGGCAAGTTAACATAGTCTAGGCTGGCCGTGAGCTCACTGTGTAGCTAATGAAGACCAGTGTGCTGGGATTACAGGCATGTCACCAGGCCGTTTATTCAGTGCCAGGTAGGCAAGCACTCTACCAACTGGGCTGCACCCTGAGCGTCTCTCTCGATGTGTTCTTTAAAATCTAGATAATAATAGTATTTTTGTTTTGAGCTGTAGATGCACAATTCTTAGTCCTAATAATTTTAAAGCTCAGAGGTGTTTAACTCAGTTTATGTCAAAATGCGATCTGACCTTGGTTACCTGGCAACCTAATCTGAACTGAACTGGCATAGCCTGGAGCGCGGATGAATCTGAGGATGAGCTGCTGGCCAGACCACATCCTGTTGTAGTATGATACATGTATGTATCATATCACAGCACCTTCTCAGTTGGTAATAATGCTAATCTGAAACATCTCTGCTCCTAAGATAAGTCCAGATAAGTGACTGTAGACCTCCGATTCCAGTGTTCTTTGTTGTTCTTTCCTGGGGGTGGGGTGAGGTGGGAAGTGAGCCTAGGGCCACGTGTCAGGCCAGTGCTCTGCTAGGAGCCACGCCTCCCATCTCTCGTGGTGCCTTTGAAGGGCTGCTGCTCCAGCCCTCTTTCCACTGCATTTGTATGTAGTGTACAGCAGCAGTTAAAAGTCAGCCAGACACCGTGGTGCACACCCTAGTCTCAGCTGCTCCAGAGGCTAGGACAAGATGACTTTTTAAGTGTAATGCAATATTTTTTAAATAGATTTTGCATCTAAGTGTTGATTGTGTGTGCATGCATATGCACAAGCATGCCATGACGTACATGTGAACTCAGACGACAATTTTCAGGAGTCATTTTTTTCTTCTGCCGTGTGAGTTCTGGGAATTGAACACAGGTCATTAGTTAAATGAAGGCTTGGTGGCAAGTGCCTTTACCCTTAGAGCCAATCCTCTGAAGAATTTTGAATTCAAAGCCAGCCCAGGGAATTTAGTGAGAACCTCATCTTAAACAAAAACGAAAACGGGGTAGTAATAGAGACCAGTTGTTGAATACCTAGCTTACAGCTAACTCGTTCCCTCCCCCTTTTCTTTCTATGGCAGAATCTGACTATGCAGCCGAGGCTGGTGTAGAGTTGAAGTGGGGTCCAGCTGGCCTCAAACTCTTTACCTTCTTACCCTAGGCTTCCGAGCGCTGAGGCTATACAAGCATGCTCCACCAGAACTGACTTAATAGCTATTTTTCATATAGCTGTTTTTTTAATAATAATTCTTAAAGGCATACTGCTTTCCAATAATCAGAATCGTTAAGTAACTCGCCCAGCGTCACATGGGCTGTAGAGCGAGTGGTTCTGATGTGAATCCAAGCCTGACTTACCGCAGAGCGGCCCCTAGTGCTGTGCTGTGGTTTAATGTGAGCCCGTCACAGGAAACATAATGGACACGGTTTTAGAAGAAAAGTGCCATTATGAAATTAACTTCGTAGTAAAAGACCCGAAGTTTCTTTGAGAGTTTTGTGTATCAGTGTAAATAAAGGTTCCGTTTCAATTACAGGAGGTAAACTAGTTATACCTCTTCAAACTAGTAACTCTTGGTTCTTGTGACGCTGTTACAGTCAGTTCTTCAGTTAGGATTTGGGAATATGTCCTTGGATTCGTGATTATCTTTGTTTGATATATATATATATATATATGGGAAAATTCTTTATGATGTCTATCAGAAATGTTTCATAACAAAGGTTCTTGTACGTCAGTCTGTATACAGTGAACACTGCTTAAAATATTTCTGTAAAGTATTACACCTGGCTTCCCCTTTGCTACTATGACTGTCCTGGATTGTTGGTGTTGAATTGAGGTCTCACTCTTTAGCCTAGGTGTTCTTAACTTGCCATCCTTCCTCAGCCTCTGCTTGCTGGGGTTATGAGAATGTGTCACCATCTCTGGCTCTGGTTCTGTCTTTTAGTTTCCCAGTGCTAGGGATCAAACACAGAGTATTGCACATGGAAGGAAAGTCCTACCCCAGAGAAGGCCAGAATCTCTCAATTTTTAGTAAGCATTCATACACCTCCCCAGACTGACCAGAAAATGCTGGATTGAGTGTACTTGCCTCCCAAAGGTGTGCATGCTAGGATGTGTCCCAGAGACGGCCATGTTGGTGCCTAGCAGAACCTTTAAGATGGTCTACCCTTAGAGTGGTGGATCTCAACCTGTGGGTTGCAACCCCTTGGGGAGTTGAATGACACCTTCATAGGGTTTGCGTATTAGATATCCTGCCTGCAAGGTATGAACATTATAGTTCATAGAAGTAGGAAAGTTACGGCTATGAAGTAGCAATAAAAATAATTTTATGGTTGGGGGTCGCCACAATATGAGAAACTATATTAGAGGGCCGCAGTGTTAGGAAGGTGAATTGGATTAAATATTCTTGAGAACTCTGAGAGAAAGAGGAAAGGCAGAAAGAAAAGGTGATGATGAAGTTAGAGAGAAAGCAAGGAAACCGTGCTGCTGGACCCTCTGGCTTCCTGCATATCTGCATGGTCGCTCCCTCTGCAGGCCTGCCGCTGTCATGCTGCCTGATGGTGTAGCCAGAGACCCACCAGATCCCAGCAGGAGCAGGACTGTGCTCTCCGCCCTCCAGAACGGTGAGCTAAATACTTAGCCAACAGTATCTTGTCATGGCAATAGAAAATGACAAATACAGAAAGCTTAGAGTTTTCATACTCCACAAGGAAGCAAGTCTCACCCCCCCGAGCTCAATTGTCCCCCCTCCCATGCATTTTGTTAATTTTTTTGAAGTTTTTTTTCTAAGTACTTAATGTTGTCAGGAGATGACATTATCTAAATAATAATGACATGTTTCATTAGGAACAATTTTATAATCATTAAAATCTAGCAATTAAAATCACAAATCTGGTAATGAATAATCATGCAGGCAATAATCTTATCATAGCTATTCACCTAAAATAGAAGTTGATGCTCATTAACTTTTAAGCCTTTGCTTCTCCCAGTAGGAATAAACTTTATTACTTTTCTACAAAAAAATGACTGCTAATTAAAATAAGAATTTTCCGAAGTCACTTTTTGACACCAGTTTTGAAAGTGTCTTAATGTGTTCATTATGGATTATAATATATGCATTGCCAGTTCTTGCTCTCAGTCCATGCTATAAATCTTCTCACATAGTAAGTCTGTATCAGAAGGTCCAGGGATGGCCTGTGGCAGTGTGCGCCCAGCACAAGTGAGGAACAGGGCCCTTCCGATTGGGCTCTGTCGGCATCTTAGGTACTTTGGTTAGGCTTTCATGTGTCTTATCAACAATGACCTTGACTTTTATGTTTCATATTCCTTATATACATGTTTATGTGTAGTGCATATATATGTATTTGTGTGTGTGTGTGTGTGTGTGTGTGTGTGTGTGTGTGTGTTTTATGCAGATAAGTCCAGAGGGTTATATTGAGGCTGTCAGTGATCAATTTCAGTATTTTGGGTTTTGTTTTGGGGTGCCAGGGATGGAATTCAGGTGCCTGTGGCATGCTAGACAATCACTCTACTGTTGAGCCACAACCACACACCCCTGGCCCTAGCAAACCTTTATATTCAAAAAGAGACATTGGTTAAAGCTTATGTAACAGAAAAGGGAGAAATAGAATAAAAGATACCATTTCCACTGTGTGGCGGTGTCTCACACCTTTAATCCCAGCAGAGGCAGGCGGTTATATAAATTCAAGGCCAGCCTAGACTGTTACACAGAGAAACCCTGTCTTGAAAAAACAGACAAATAAAAAACATTTTCAGCTCTGCTTTCACCCTCAGTTCTCCATTAAATAAGTGACATGTCTAGTTAAATGTGGTTGTATATACACTTTGATTTTACGGGAACACATAATATTTACATTTATCCTTACGTTTCTAGTGATTCCCAGAGGACTTACTCTTATAGAGTAGTTCACTGGTTCAGGAGGGATGCTATTAAGGCCTATGAGGCATGTGGGACTCTCTTGTCTAGAGAGACCATGATGGAGCCTTTCTAGGCTTCCACCAACATGCAGTATTAGCGTGGTTAATGTTTTTAATAGTGTTCGTATGAATATAGGGTCGGAATCCCTGAACGGTGTGGGTGTTCTGAGAGGCATTGTTGAGCAGTTTTGTTGTGTGAACATGCTTACACAATCCAGATGGCACAGGTCAGTGACTCTGGATGCAGCCATGAGGCATGTGAGCACAAGGTGTCTGGAGCTGCTGCCAGTGTGAAGCAGCATGCTCAGAAAAAGTGGGAGGATTGTCTGAAGTGGTGACTTAAAGTGGAGTAGATGTGTGAACTGGAAACAGTCATGCTTACAATTACCATGTTAGGCCCTGTACATTATTGCATACACTGAATGCCACTGGCGTTGCAGGTTTGTTTACACCAACATCATCATAGATGGTGTTTGTTTGTTTGTTTGTTTGTTTGTTTGTTTTTGAGACAGGGTTTCTGTGGTTTTGAAGCTTGCCCTGGAACTAGCTTTTGTAGACCAGGCTGGCTTCAAACTCACAGAGGTCCGCCTGCTTCTGCCTCCTGAGTGCTGGGATTTAAGGCGTGCGCCATCAGTGCCTGGCATCATAGACATTTGAGTAGGGAGTTGTGCTGCAGCTTTACAACATGCTGCTAGGTAATGTAGATTTTCATCTTCATTGCATGTTTGAACAACAGGCGAATGACTGTATAGTACATGTGTACTTTATATATGTATATAAATATGTTCATTAGTGTAAAATATTTGATTCAGAGGTATCTAATTTTCATCAGAGGCATCTAATTATTAGATATAAGCTGACATATTTTAAATTGTTATTGAGAATTTTGTGTATTTCATCATTGTAGTCAACTTTTTAGTTGAAAGGGTTTGCCATTTATTTTTATTTATTATAGTTTATGAAATACTGGTATTATACTATCATATATTAAGATGTATTTTCTCAGTGTTAGACGAGATCAACTTAAAAGAAGAAAATAACTGTGTATAGTTTTAAATTTAAGAGAACTGTGTGGACCCAGGGTGAAAGGTGACCTTCTCTGTCTCTAGGTTTTCTTTCTCCCATTCAGTAACACAATCCTCAGCTGCTTTAAAGACAACTCCATCTTCGCTTGGGAATGTGATACTCTGTTTTGCAAGTACCAATTACCGGCTCCACCTGAAGGCTCTAGCATCGTATACAAAGTGTTTGCCGTGACCAGGTAATAGGCATTTTTAAGAAATTTAGTTTCTGTTTAAAAATTCTAAATTTCCGTTTAGGATCTTGGGGAAAATCCTTCAGCTTTAGATGTGATCTGCAGACCTTTGGCTTTACTTTATCATGCAAACTTTGGCTTTTCAAGACAGGATCTCCCTGTGTAGCCCTGGTTTTCCTAGAATTAGCTCTACAGACCACACTGCCTTGCCTCTGCTTCCCAAGTGCTAGGAATAAAGGTTTGCGTCACTACTTCCTGGCTATTGTGCAAACTTTTGATTATATATAAAAATGGAGAACCTTGTGGACTCGTCAACTGGACAGGTGTCAGCCAGCTCTGGTCCTGTTTCTGTCTCTGCCCATTTCCCTGTTGTCTTGTTTAGGAGCCAAGCTTACATGAATCATTTCATTGGTGAACATTTCAGTGTGTCCTTCTACCTTTGGGGAACACAACCATACTGTTGACGAGGTTTCTGTTTTGCCCAGTTCCCGCAGTCATTAAGTCCCAAAGAAATCACACAGAGGCCTACATGATTATAAACTGAATGGCCCAGTATCTCAGGCTTCTTATAACTCTTATAACTTATATTAGCCCATAATTCTTGTCTGTGTTAGCCACATGGCTTTTGTACCTTTTTTGTTCTGCGAGACAGTCACATCTTACTTGCTCTGTGTCTGATTTCCTCTCTCTCTGGGTGATGACTGCAGAGTTTCTTCTTCCCAGAATTCTCATTGCCCCACCTCTGCTTCCTACCTGGCTACTGGCCAATAAGTATTTATTTAAAACACAAGTGACAGGGTACAGACCATTGTCCCACAGCACTTCCCCCCCTTTTTTAAACAAGAACTCTGAATCGAATCTCCTTTGTTTAGCTTTTCTACTGACCATTGTCCATAACAACTTGTAACCAACATTCTAAGCAAAGACAAATATGCATAATCCATTTTTTGGGAATGTAGGCATAGTTTTTCCAGGCTACTTCCTGCTGATTGAGGGTGCTGATAATCTTATGGGAACCTAAAGAAAATTTAGAATTGTGATCAAGTCTGACTGGAGTATCCTGTGAGGCTTGATCATCTCAGGCAGCATCTTGAATCTGTTCTGGATATAGAACTCAGACATCTGCACCATCCGTTCCTATTGAAGATTTTTCAGAGGGTCTTCCTTGATCAAACCTGATTTTTCTAATCCAGAATGAATCCACAGCCTCTCATTTCCTGTAAAAACAAAAGCAAAACCTCTTCTCCAAAGTAACATACCTTTTGACTTATATTTTAAAGTCAAGATATTTTCAAAATATATATGTTGGATTAATCCAGCAGCATTTATAATCAAATGTCTTTTAGCAGCTTTGCTCCTTCCTCAGCCATCAAACAATTTAAAGACAATACAGTAACATTCAGTATCCAGACTCTCTGAGTATTTTTCATCTTTACATGGCTTTATTTTAACCTCTATTTCTTTTATTTTTATTTTTAATTCTTGACAGAATTTCTCTGTGTATCTTTGGCTGTCCTGGAATTTACTCTGTAGACCAGGTTGTCCTTGAACTAACAGATCAGCCTGTCTCTGCCTCCCAAGTGTTGAAATTAAAGGTGTGTGCCACCACACCCAACTACTCTCTTTTTTCTTTTTTCTTTTTTCTTTTTCCTTTTAAGGACTTTATCCTTTTTTCCCCCTAAGCCTACATAAACACACAGTAAACCATTTAGAGGTTTTCTTTATCTTTGAATCTATCTTTATTATATATCTATCTTTTTCTGACCACATGAGTCTTTAATTTGCTAAGCAATATGGCTAGGATTAAAGCCATGGCTTTGATAACTGGATCCAGCCTATTCCTTAGCTTTTTTTCTGAGGGTCTAGCCTCATGACAGAGGTACTGGCTGGAGCCATGTTTATTACCACAACTCTATGGCATTTCAAGGTCCGTGCCACCACCAAAAAGTTTGCAGTCAGCTTTTCATCAACATCATTTAAGTGTTTTGTGGCAGGACCTCTTAAAAGAGCTGCAGGGTTTTGCAACTAAAACTGAGTCATCAAGCCTCTCTTAAATGAGAGCGCTTGCCTCTAGCAAGCAGAGCCCACCCAACTCTGCTTGGGCTGCTATCAAGAAGCTGTGAGCCTGAGCCATCCTGTATGGTCCACAGGCCACATGTAGCCTTCCTTTCCTCAGGAGTGTAAATAGCCATGTTCCCAGAGTCCAGAGGTGCCTGAGGTCAGCGTGACCAGTTGACCTCACAGCAGACTGCAGACAAGCACTGCTGCACACGCTGCACATGCCGCACACTCTGCACATTGCTGCACGCGCTGCACACGCTGCACATGCCGCACACTGCTGCACACGCCGCACACTGCTGCACACGCCACTCACGCTGCACACGCCGCACACTGCTGCACACCGCTGCACACGCCGCACACCGCTGCACACGCCGCACGCCGCACACGCTGCTCACGCCGCCGCACACGCCGCACACTGCCGCACACGCCGCACACTGCCGCACACGCCGCACACTGCCGCACACTGCTGCACACGCCGCACACTGCTGCACACGCCGCACACGCCGCACACTGCTGCACATGCCGCACACTGCTGCACACGCTGCACATGCCGCACACTGCTGCACACGCTGCACACGCTGCTCAGCTACTCTTGGTTCCTTACTGGATTTGTATTTTTAAATGTAGAGATGGCCGAATCTTGGCTGCTGGAGGCAAATCCAACCACCTGCATTTGTGGTGTTTGGAGACCACACAGCTCTTCAGAATCATCCAGATGCCTACTAAGGTCCGAGCTGTTCGCCATCTGGAATTCCTTCCTGACAGCTTTGATGCCGGTTCCAATCAGGTTAGTAACAGAAAGAGCCAGCTCCGCTTCCAGACCCATGTTGGATCTGTTGTTCAGGTATTTCTCTTTTTTAATCATCCCTATTCTTTGAAAGTTTCCACATTTATACAAAGTATGCTAACCTTGTCCATCCACACTACCTCCCTCCAGCTCCCCATAATGCCCCCACCCCAGCTGCATCCCAGCTTCATCTTCATCAGCTCCTATGCCACCTATAGCATGGTTGACACAATTCTAAAATTTTACCTAATTTTTGTGTGTGTGTGAGGAGTCCAGAGTTGAAGAAAGAATTCAGAATCTTGTGTTCTTTAGTATTACTAATAAATAATTGCTTTAACTTTAAATTGACAGTCACAGTCATGAATTTAAAGTTAAATTCATATGTGTTTCATGTAGTTTTACACACACATGTAATGTGTAAGCACATGAGTGTCTTACTTGTTTTACTTAAGATTTCTGCATCGTTGATTCATATGGTTCGAATTGTAAAGCTTACAAATAGGTGTTGGAGGTAAGCCCCGTCCTGTCTCCTGTTTGTGCGGTTATTCCCTCCTCACCTGCACTCTCTGCACACACAGCCTCCTACTGTGCGGGACAGTTGTCCATATTCTGTCAATTATGTTTTAAATAAATGCTGTTTGGCCAGTAGCCAGGTAGGAAGTATAGGCGGGACAACCAGACAGGAAGTAGAGGTGGGTCAGTGAGAATGGGAGAATTCTGGGAAGGAGGAAGCCCATTCCTTCCCCAGTCCTGTCCCAGCCACAGAAGAAGGAAAATGTGATTGCCTCACTGAAAAAGGTACCGAGCCATGTGGCTAACGTAGATAAGAATAATGGGTTAATATAAGTTATAAGAGTTAATAAGAAGCCTAAGCTAATGGGCCAATCAGTTTATAACTAATATAGACTTCTGTGTGATTCTTTGGAACCTAACAACTGTGGGAACCGGGCAGGACGGAAAACTAAGACATTATACCTTTTTCTTAATTTGGGAATTATTCTATATTAGTACAAAATGTCTTTCATGGCTTTATAATATTTCATATTCTTCTTTATCTGTGTTTAAATCAGATGTGTTTAAATAATTTCTCTGTTATTGGGCACTTACTATATTCTTAGTGCTTTTTGTTATAAATGTTGCCTCATTAGATAACTAAATTTTTGCAAATGTCATTTTCTCATGTCATATTTGTAGGATAAGAACCCGAGAGTTGAAGTCATTTCAGTTATCTGTAATTAGGACAGGGTCTTTCCAAATTGCTCTCAAGAGCAGCCTGCACCTGCTGCACACATGGAGCGCTGTGCCCCACCAGCGAGCCAGTGGAAGAGCTTTTCCTGTTATCACCGTGCAGCAACACGACTCTGGAATGGCAAAGAGTCGTGTGGTTATAGTTGTAGCCATGGCTCCCAGGCCACAGGTCCAAGAGGCTTTACCCATGTAATGCTTCCAAATCATATGACTTAAATTTACATTATTTTCCCATTGAAGACTAGCTTCCTACTACTATAACCCATAATCTCAGTCCATTCACCAAATATCAGTTAGAGTGGCTGAAGATTGGCAGGGAGTGGCGAGCCTTCACCAAGAGCACATGTGCCTCTTTCCTCCCTCTGAAAGCCAGTGTGGAGGTGAGGGTCAGCACCTGATCCTGTGTCTCAGTGGAGGTGGCCTGCCTGGGGGAACCAAAGCCTTCCATGGTTTCCAGGGGTGTACTCCATACCATGTCAGAGTCAGACACATCCACGCGAGCCATCATTAGTGGATTCAGAATGCATAATGGCTCACTAGAATTGAAGTGCCCTCTTAGAAACTATATAAAATGAATACATTACTTTTAAAATATGTTTGCATGACACACATATAAATGTACACACTTATAGCTACTCTCTCTTTGTGTATATGAACTTTCAGACATTGGGCTCTCAAATGTTACAGTGTCGTCATTTCTTTCTACTCAGGTTCTCGGTGTGCTGAGTCAAGATGGGATTATGAGATTTGTCAACATACAGACTTGTAAACTTCTCTTTGAAATTGGGAGCGTTGAAGAAGGAATTAGCTCATCAGTAATTAGCCCACATGGTCGGTACATAGCATCTATTATGGAAAATGGAAGTCTGAACATATATTCTGTCCAGGCTTTAACACAAGAAATAAACAAGGTGTGTCCTCCAGTAACTGACTCTGCTCTCTACACTTCAGCGTTGTATCTCCAAGGAGGAAGCACTTCCTCTGTGCTGTTCCCTAACTTCTTTAGGACACGTCTGTTTTTCTGGATATACTCCCTGGCTCTGAAGAGCTGCATCTCCAGCTCTGATTTCTCACCAGGCTCCTTCTCAGCTAGGTGCACACCTCATCAGTGTCCCTGTGATCTCTTTTCCAAAGGAGGCCTTTAATCCCAGCGTCTTTGTTTCCATCCCGCTCTGTCTGCTCACCTTGTAGGTTACAAACCTTGGCGCACTATGGCTGTTTCTGTTATTTCCTAATCCAGTCTCTGCTAAATCATAAGATTTCTTAAGTTTGAGCTCTGTCTCTAGCCACCTATCACCTATCATCTTACCTATCACCTAGCTGTCAGTTACCTCCCATGCGTCTCTCCATCATCTTATCTGCCCAGCATCTTATTATCTGTCTGTCATCTGTCTGTTAATCTGTCAATCGTCTGTCTTTGCTACCTCTCTCTATCTTGGTCTTTATTCACTAATTCTGAGTACAGTAATTTAAACAAATTTCCTAAAATCAGTCCTCAGTGGCTATTCCTCCTATCAATCCATCTTCTACATGACATTTTTCTAAAATAATGTTTTCTTCATCATTTTTTATATAAATTTAAATTTTTTTATTTTGTACACATTGGTGTTTTGCCTGTAGTTATATCTCTGTGTGATGGTGTCCAATCCCTTGCAACTGGAGTTATAGGCTGTTGTGAGCTGCCATAAATGCTGGAAATTGAACCCGGGTCCTCTAGAAGAACACCTAGTGCTCTGAACCGCTGAGCTATCTCTCCAGTCCCTCGTCATTTTGTAATTTAAGATGTTTAGTGTGTGTGTGTGTGTGTGTGTGTGTGTGTGTAGGCAGGCACACGTGTGCCATGGCATGTGTATGAAGGTTAGAGGACAACCCTCAGGCAGGGTTCTCTCTAGCGGCTACATGATGGGATCCAGGGCTAGAACTCAGGCCATCAGACCTGTGTACAGTTGTCTCTCTCCTCTGAGCCACTCTTCTGTCTTATGATTTCTTAATATTATCTTGATGCATTCATTCCACGCTCGTTTAATACCCCCTGGCCCCACTCCAGCTGAGTAGGACCAGGCTTTTCCTGCTTTATCTCTCATGCTACAATCAAAGTATCTTTCCGAGTCTGCACAGAATCATGAGTTTTGCATTTTACATTTTGGGCCTTTTTGTTGTGATTTTACTGCCTCACCCTCAAGAATGGTGCTCAAGCTCAGTCTGGTTTGTCTTAAACACAAGCAAGCTGTGCTGTGCCTTAAGGGAAAAATATACCCTAAACTCATGTGGGCGTGCGTTCTGGTGCTATTAGCTGAGAAGTCAGTAATGTAGTTTTTTTTTTTTTTTTTGGTTTTTGGTTTTTCGAGACAGGGTTTCTCTTAAGCTTTGGAGCCTGTCCAGGAACTAGCTCTTGTAGACCAGGCTGGCCTTGAACTCACAGAGATCCGCCTGCCTCTGCCTCCTGAGTGCTGGGGTTAAAGGTGTGCACCACTACCGTCCGTCCGGCCAGTAATATATTTCAAATAAGGTATCTTTAAACAGAAACACATATCAAAGCAAGGTTATGTGTTACAAGTCAGTTGATGATATGTAAATGAGGCTCCCTAACTTTTTAAAACTGGAATCAGTGGTTCTGTTTCTACTAATTCAGTACTTGGGATAATTCTATATAATTATGTACTTGAAATGACAAGACTCATCTAATAGATGTGTTCATGCATGTGTATATTTGTGAGTATGTATTTTCTATCATATAGAATTATAATCTGTTTCTTATATATAATCTATATTACATAAAATATGCAATTTTAGATGCCATAGCTCTGCTTTTTTGTTGGAACCTTTAATGTATGTTATTTTTTTAAATCACCAGTCTATTAAGTGCTCCTGTGGAGCGTCTTTAGCCTGTTCATTTGATTTCCCACTACCAACTAAAGGAGGTGGAAGGAGACTGAGTCACCTCCTGGTGCTGCTGTGCACCCAGCCCACTGAGAGCACAGCGAAGGAAAGCTTGCTCCAGAGTGGAATCGTCTTTTACTTTTTGGGCACATTGCCCTGCGTCTCTGTGACTGCTGCAGCTGCATGAATGTCTCACCGCTTTTCCTGTACAAATCTTGACTTACCTGTGCCCCTTTCTCCCAAGTTTTGCTTCATTTTCTCGTCATTAGAGAATTTCTGATGTGATTCTAATGAAGTCAGTGAATTCTTACTCACTACAGAGAGGAGTCGAATTCAGTCCCATGTCCAGCTCTAGCCTTGGGGGGATTGTGCTTAGAGCCAAGGAGGAGGTCCCAGCAGGGGAAATAATTTCAGAATAGAGGCTTAATAAAAACTTAGAATGAACTGAAACTAGAGAATGAACAGTTCAGCAATATTAAATCATTTTGATGCCACCCCGAGATGAAGAATTACATCATGGAAGGGGGCACTTTAGAACTTGGCCTGTGTGACCTTATTTGCTCATTTCCTTTGAATAAGGAAGATCATCTGATTTCAAAAGGAGTGCCATTTATGAGGAAAACGTTCTAGTGAGTCATTTCAGTTTGAGTAAGTTGATTGTAAGATTTTCCCACTTGAGAGCCCCCCAAAAAATGAGCCCTTGGGTTCTGAGTGGTCTTGCCTAGCTGCCCTCTTAAGCAGTTGATGCATTAAGGGACTGACAGCCATCGCTGAGCAGACCACGGTCTTTGACCTCACGCAGTGCAGGGGACCCGGTGCTCCCTCGGGATTTCCACGTGAGCCCCGAGCCTGTTAGGGTGCTCTCCTCTGCATCCTCCTAGGGTGTGTGTCTGACCTGCTGGCTGTGTCATCGGCATGTGCTGGTCTATCGTGCAGACAGAAAGTGGTTTGGCATCGTGCTGTTTCAAGCCTTTTTGGAATAAATTCTACTTATTGATGTTAATTATGTATGTTTATTTATTCTTTAAAGGAATTTAACAGGCATATGCTGTATACAAATTAAAGCGTGCTATTCAAGTAAAGTTGATGAACTATGTATTAATAGGCCTACTTTCCGAGGATACCCACTGTGGCAGATACATGTAGGTACATAAATACATGAAGCGTTTTTTTTCCTCCTCTTCAGCCACCTCCTCCCTTATTCAAAGTGATTGAAGATTTGCCTAATAACACACTGAGCTCCAGTAATCTTAAGATGAAAATGGTGTCAGGAAGAGCACAGCGGCCAGCAAGATCTAAAGAGAGCAGGACTCAGACTAGAACACTCAAGCGCGACCTGGCGGGTAACGTAGAAAACAAAGAGGTAAGAATGCGCTATAATTCGACTCCAGCTTGCTGTGACCCTGCTGTCGCCTCAGCTCGTGATTTCAGGGCTGGTGTGTGGCTGGTGATATTGGAGGTGTGGTAATCTGAGGGAGATGTGCTGTAGCAGCCTACCACGGTGGCACACACCTGTAATTCCAGCACTTTCAAGGTAGAGGCAGGATCCTGAGTTTGGGATCAACCTGAGTTACATAGTGAGATGCTATCTCAAAACAAAACACAACAAACCCTAACAACTGAGTTCCATCTTTGGAACCCACACGGTAGAAAGAGAAAATCAACTCTGGCAATTGTCCTTTGATCTTCACGTGTGTTGTGGAATACACTCACATATTCATATATGTGCGTGCTAAGTAAATAAATGTTTCTAAAAGATGCTTTAAGTGAAAAACACATGCAGTAAGAAAGTAGGAAAGCCTGGAATGTAAAATATCTTACGAATTGATTTTATATTGATTATGTGTTAAAGTGGGTTATGTTGAGTTAAATAAGTTATATTATGAAATTGATTTTTTTCCTGTTTCTCTCTACTTTTATTAATGCTCTTGTTAGGAAATTTTAGATGCCATTTGTGACTCTTGTTGTATTTCTGTTAGTGCTGCTGTAGAGGTCATAACGGGAAAAAACAGGAAGCTTGCTTTTTACACGGCCGCTCTAGAGTCTGTCACTGTACAGCCGATAGTAGGATCACTCTGGGAGAAAGAGCTCAAAAAGTTTTGTTTTTTAAAATTTACTTGAGTGTGCGTGTGTGCATGCATGTGTGTGCGTACGCATGAATGTGAACTCGTTGAGATCAGGACAACTTTCAAGTCAGTTCTCCCCTTCCACTGTGAGTTCCCAGGGTCAGACTCAGGTCACCGAGCTCGTGCAGCAGGAAATTTTGCCAAAACACTGAGCCATCTTATTGCCCCCATGTTCTTTTCTAAAATGATTTTTCTGTTCTTTTTTTAAATATTTTTTCTGCAAAGCATATATATTATTTTGAAATAGAAAGAAAATATAAATCTTCATAGAAATGTTTAACATTATCTTCAAGGAAACTTTTTTTTTCCATTCAAAAATTTACAGTTCCTCCCCTCCTCCCATTCCCCTTCCACTCCCCCACTCACTCTCCTCCCTCCCCCTCCTCCTCAAGAGAGGGCAGGGAACCCTGCCCTGTGTAAAGTCCAAGGCCCTCCGCCCTACATCCAGGACTAGGAAGCTTTGCATCCTAGTAGACTAGGGTCCCAAAAAGCCAGTATGTGGAGGTGGAGTAGAAACAAGTCCCAGTGCCATTGTCCTTGGCTTCTCAGTCAGCCCCCATTGTCAGCCACATTCAGAGAGTTAGGTTTGATTGCATGCTTTTTCAGTCCCGGTCCAACTGGCCTTGGTGAGCTCCCATTAGATCAGTCACACTGTCTCAGTGGGTGGACCAACCCCTTGCGGTCCAGACTTCCTTGCTCATCTTCTCCCTCCTTCTGCTCTTCAACTGGACCTTGGGAACTCAGTTCATTGCTCTGATGATGCACATGCAAAGTACACAGTGAATTTTCACCAACTAAATACACCCAGGCTACCAGCACCCACATCAAAAAATGGAATGTTACCACTCCCTTCTAGACTTTGCCGTTTGCCTCAGTGATAATATTCGCTGGGGAGAGTGAGTATTAGAGAGATCTTTGCATTACACATATGTACTAAGTATGTGTTCTGCCTCATACCTTAGGCTCTTGATATACCATAGGTTTGTTTAGTAAATACTATCAGTTTTCCTAAGCCGTTGAAGTAATCCTATCCTAACACAGTAGAGAGTTCTAGTTATCCCATCTCTTCAGTAACACTTGGTATTTTTCACATTAATTTAAATAATTTTTCTATTAGCACTTCAGTTATAAAACTTACATGTATGAAAGAACATATAAAGCAGATTCCAGGTGTGTTGGTTGGTGTCTTCCTTCTTGGTGCTTTGTTGGGGGGGGGCAATATAAGTGAATGTCATATGCTGTGTATGGCTATACTTGGGGGGTAGGAGAGAGGAAGCATAGGTGGAAGGTCGGGGGCATGAATATTTCTTACTGTATATCGTGTTTAGTTCTGTTGGGTTGTTTGAAATAGGAGCTTCCTGTAGCTCAGGCTGGCTTCAGACTCATGACCCTGCAGCCCACTCTGAGTGCTGCCTACCTGCACTGTGCCTGTGTTCTGAAGTCTGGTGGTCACTGTGGACTAGACTGCCATGTTTTCAGTTGCACAACTGTCACTTACTGATGCAATCTTTTTGTAGAATGAATTGTCAGAAGGATTAAATAAAAAACGTTTGCAAATCTTATTGAAAGGCTATGGGGAATATCCAACAAAATACAGGTAAAACTCGGATTCTTTCATTCTAAGTCGGTTTTATTCAAAGCAGGGTTTTTTGTTTATTTAAAATTAAATTTTTGTTTCAGGATGTTTATTTGGCGTTCTTTGCTACAGCTGCCTGAAAATCACACTGCGTTTAGTAGCTTGGTGGATAAGGGGACTCATGTGGCTTATCTCAACCTTCAAAAGAAATACCCCATCAAAAGTAGAAAGCTACTGAGAGTATTGCAGAGGTACGCTCAGCACATTGCAGCCATGTAGGGGATGGGACCCAGGAACTGTGTGTTTTCCAAATCCTCTTCTCATAAAGTATTGCTTGGCCCTTGTGTGATATGTAGGACTGTTTTAAAATCAAAACACACACATCATGTATGGATGTTAGTTTGTGCTATGTTCCAGATATGTATGGTTATTTTAAAAATTAAACATACACACATCATGTATGGATGTTAGTTTGTGTTATATACCAGAAAATCATACTCTCTCCGGTAATCTAAAGGAACAGCGTGAAGTAGTGGAAAGAGCTTGGGATTTAAGACGAAAGACCTAGTGTTGACTCTTTATTCCGTCATTTAATAAATGATAAAAGGTATCTTTCCTCCCCATCCTTAAATTTTTGGCAGGAAATGGAATGGGAGCTAATCACCCCAACATGGAGATTATTGGGGTGTTTGAAGAGAGTGTCACTTAGAATGTTTACAGCGGTGTCTGGTTCGTAGTAGACACATGGTAAATGCTAGTTGTAAGCCCTTACATCCAGCTGCAGCCCACCCCTGCATGGGGCGGAGCACAAAGCTGTGAGCTCACGTAAAACATTGGAAGATTGCTTTTTCAGTAACTGTATTGCACAGTTTTCAGGTGTGAACTTTGTAGGTGGCATTGTGTCACATCACAAGGCTGAGCGCAAACGTCTTCATTGCTAGGTAAATGTGGATTTAATTTATGTAAAGAAACTAAGGCACAGAGAGATTGGGTAATGTGATTTGGTCACTTTTGTTAGAGCTGGAGTTGCTCCTGGTCTCTAAAATCCAAGACCTTTCTTCAGAGTGAAGTGTTTCTGATGAGAAACCGCAAGCTTTTGTAAGAGTAGGACCCCATAAAGAGCAGCCTGTGCGTCACTAGCTGCAGCAGCTGCCGTGAACCCTCTCGCTGCAGTGTTCCTCCCTCTCCGCAGCAGCCACTCTGCTGCCTCCCTGCACATGCATGCACATGTGTGCTGAGTGTTTGCATGTGTGCCTTTAAAGACTGGAGACACCGTGCCTCTAACCTGAGCATGCGCACTGCCATTGCCATTGACAAGAAGGCTCCTGTACCGCATACCCAATCAGCATCCCACTACTGACCGACGTGGGAAATGTTATGGTAAACTTGTTCAAATCTGAATTCAAACAAGTTACACATACAATGTTTGATCAACCCCGCCACCTTGAAGTCTCTTTTATTTTTCTATTTTATTGTTTATTTGGCATTTTGGAAGCAGTGTCTGTGCATCCTAAGCTATCCTGGAACTTTAGTCCTCCTACCTCATGAGAGCTGGGAGTCTGGGCGTGTGCCACCACACCGACCCCCTGGAGCCCTTTTAATCTACAGATTCTCTTTGTTTCACTGGCAATGTGTTTGGTGAAGAACCAGGAATTACCTTACATACTCTATCACAGATTTTCTGAAGTTTGGTGGTTTATTCCCTTCCTAGTGTTTGCCCTATTTCTCTTTATCCATGATGTACTCGCCACTGATGAAAGGTCCTGACAAGATAGGACATTACCAGGCTGTGGTGGCGCATACCCTTAATCCCAGCACAATAAGTTTCAGGACAGGCTCCAAAGCTACAGAGAAACCCTGTTTTGAAAGAGAGAGAGAGAGAGAGAGGGAGAGAGAGAGAGAGAAAGAAAGAGAGAGAGAGTTAGGGTATGAATTTTCTTCACTTGGGTTTACTGGGAGACATCATAGGTGGTTTGTTGCTTCTGTTAGGAGACTCCCAGTCCCTGGTCGCTTCTGTCTTGAAGGTGTCCTGGTCGTGAGCGATCGTCTTCTAGATCTGTCGTGTCCCGGAGATTAGCAAACACTAGCCATCTAGCTCTGTCGTTCCTTCTCTTTTATTTTGTGGAAAATTTCTATAAAGAAAATTTTCCAGGGGTTGGGAAAATGGCTCAGTTCATAAAGCACTTGCCCAAGGACCCGAGTTCAGTCCCCAGTGAATCCCCAGAAAAACCTGGAGTCAGCATGCATATTTGCAATCCCAGTGATGGTAAGATGGAGGCAGAGACAGGCAGGTTCCTGACAGCTCAGTAACCCACTAATTAGTCTGGCTCAGTCAGTGAAGTTCCAGAACAAGAAGAGACCGTGTCTCAAACAAAAAGTGAAGGACACCTGAGGATCACAGCTGAGACTGTCCTCTGGCTTTCTCTCTTGGGCACTTGGGCCCCTCACACACATGTAAAACATACATACAAAGAACAATAAGGTTCCCATCATCAACTTTTTTTTAAACCAGTTTTCAAAATAGCAAATTAATTATCTTAGAGTGCCCCAAATAATAAGTTTATACATTATAAACTAAGATTTAAACCTAGGCCTTTTCAGTGGGCTGGGTCATGAGAGGACTGGCATTTTACTTGTTTGCTAGTTTTCCTTTGTAGCCACCCTGTGCAATAGATAACTACAAAGTGAGTTCTAGGACAGCCAGGGCTATTCAGAGAGACCTGGTCTACAAGGTAAGTTCCGAGACAGCAAGGGCTACTCAAGCCCTGCCTCCAAAAACAATAATAATAATAATAATAATAATAATAATAATAATAATAATAAATTTCAAAATAAGATAAAAAGTTTAGCAGAAATGTGTATGAGTCTGAATGAATTCAGAAAGGGGATTTTTTTAGAACGGCTTAAAATCTGTTGTCCACTTAGTCCAATGCTGTCCACCTGTCTACCAGCAGGAAGTCCAAGGATCCAGTAGTTGTTCAGTCCGTGAGACTGGGTGTTTTAGTTGATTTTCAGTATGCACCAGAGTCTTGAAGGCTGTAATGCCTGTGAAAGAATGGACTTGCCATCATGAGTGAGAGCAAGCAGACAAAAAGAACACGCTTCCTTCTTCCTCATCCTTTATATACACTGCTGCCAAAGGAGGGGCCCAGGTCAAAGGTGGGTCTGCCCACCTCAGAGATTAAGAGTGGGTTGTCCCACTTCAAATGATTTAATTAAGAAAAAATCCCTCACAGGTGTGCCCAGCCACTCCCGTTTTAGTTATTTCCAGATATAGCCAAGTTGACAACCAAGAATATCCATCACACAGTGTTGGCAAGGCTGTGAAAAGCCCTGAGAAAACAGAGATCCCTTCCCGGTGTCAGCGGCAGTGTACACAGACATCCGTGGAGGGTAGTGGAGCGGTGGCTACTGCAATGACAGCTGTGCATATCTTATGTGCTTACCTGCCTGTTGTCCCTCTTGAAGAAGGAGCATCTGTAATCGTATTCAGTGCAGCATTGTTTAGAAAAGCAGAAAGACCCTAAGGCCCAAACAGGAACCTTATTTAAATAAATGAGATTACTCAACACCAAGCTCTCATAGCACCAAGAAAACATCATGAAGATATTTATGCTACATAGACTTATGAAAACGTTTCAAGTATTAACTGAAAACTTCAGGCACAGAACACATATTTATGTAATACCACTATTTGTATGGAGTTAAGTTCTTCTGTTGGTGATGAGGACAGATTGGGTTCTGGGTTTTGGTTTGGTTTTGATGGGGTTTCACCTTGTATCCCTGACTGGCCTGAACTTCACAATGTAGACCAGGCTGACTTTGAATTTCCAGAGATCTGCCTGCTTCTGCCTCTCCATTGCTGGACTCCAAGGTGTGCACCGCCACCACCCAGTGCTTCTGAAGAGCGGAACTGCCTGATGGGGATAAGAGAGAAGGCCTCCACCAAATCCAGATCAGTTACTCAGACATTTTGTAATAATGCTGTCCCTTTCTAGTTTTTTTCCTTTTCTCATTTCCAGAACCCTCTCTGCGTTAGCTCACTGGTCTGCGATCTTCAGTGACACACCGTATCTTCCACTCTTGGCCTTCCCATTTGTAAAATTATTCCAGAACAATCAGCTCATCTGTTTTGAAGTTGTTGCTACTCTCATAAGTAAGTACTTCATGACTGCAGAACCAAACCGAGAGCGGGGCCTCACGTGTCTTCCTGGTGTCTTGGCACCTTTGCCACACTTAGGGAACCTAGAGCTCTTTATTTTTGAGTAAAGAAGTTTGGAACAGTCAAGTTTAGAGCAGAAATAAACACGTCAGCCACTTATACGTGGAGAGTTGGAGTTTTTAGACACTATTGTTGCAGGCTGGACTCGGTTAGAAAGAAGCAGGTCTCGCACTAGGTGGGGATTGGTTGTTTTCAGAGAACCACTGTCCAGTGGAGCCCTTTGCACACAGGACCTGCTGGTTAGTGCCCAGGTGCTGGCTGCTGCCCTCGCCCCCACATCTGAGGCTTCTAAAGTTGAGCAATTTGTATAACGCACTGTTCTCGGTGTTGGACTTTGATTTGCTCATCTCCCCTCGTAGCCACCCTGTGCAATGGCTAAAGCTATCCCCTTTCTACAGATGAGACCAAGGCAAGAGGACCCACGTACTCGGGCTAGTCAGGGCAGTCTGCTCCAGTAATTCACTGCGTGTGTCATTCTCACAGCAGCAGTTAAAGAGGTGGAAACCTTGCCAAGATGTTGTTTCTGGCTTAATTATTAGCTCAGATTCAATGTATGGCAGTAAATGAAGAATAGAATTCTAGAATTAGAAGACCCTCATAGACAGTATAATGCTCTGCTATTGAAACCTCTGCTGTTGGTTTGAGATGGTCGGCCATAACATCAAGGAACACAGCTTAAATCACTGACGGCTCATGGTCCATTGTGGGAGGGGAGTCACGGCAGCCGTGTCCACAGGCTGCAGCAGGAAGTACCCACTGGTGCTGATGCATCACACGCTCTCCCCTATGCCTCCAAGGGCCCCATCATGGAGCAGAGCCACAGTACTGATGGTGGCTCTCCTCGTCTCATCGAGACCTCTCTGGAGATGTCCTCACAGACATGCCCAGAAGTTTGTCTCCTGGGTGATTTTAAGTTCTGTCAAGTTGACAATAAGGGTAAAGCAAAACACATAGCCCTTTGTTAATCAAAGACTGAAAATACAGGAGTCAGTAGGAAACAGAAGGCCCAACATGTTGGATTAGGAATGGTTTGGAAGTGTGTGTGTGTGTGTGTGTGTGTGCACGTGTTTTTATTGGCACATTTTCAACAACTGCTCAGAAGAAATTGGCAAATTCTCTTTATGCCTAAGTTACTATATTAACACCATGGAGTTTCATGTTCTAGAAACTAAACAGATATTATCTCTTCTTTATTCATGAGCATATTGAAAAGCAAAATAAAAAAAAATTATTTCATTGGGGCTAATGGAACTGGGCTGCGATCCAGAGGCTGGGGCAGGTGGACCACAAGTGCAAGGCCTGCCTTAGAACCTATAACTAAATAAATGAGTGAGTAAATAGCCTGGGGTACAGCTTAGTGGTAGCTTTGCCTAGCATGTATAAGGCCCCTGTGTCCAACCCACAGAACTAGAAATAAAAGCGTTCCAGTGCCGTTGCCTGTAATCCCAACATTAGGTTGGCTAAGACAGGAGCATCAGAAGTTTGAGACTAGCCTGGGAATATGAGCACATACATGCATACATACATAGATACACACACACACACACACACACACACACAGTGAGACTGTCTCAAAAATTCTTTTATAATACATAAAAGTATTTAAAGACAAAATTTCTGATTATTTTTTTCCTTTGTAGTCAATTGGTGTCAACATTGGTTTGAGTACTTTCCTAACCCTCCCATCAATATTCTTAGCATGATAGAAAATGTTTTGGCATTTCATGACAAGGAACTGCTGCAGCACTTTATAGAGCGAGATGTAACTTCCCAGGTAAGAAACAGAGGGACTTTAGAATGACATCTTTATTGTGAGAGCCAGAATTGACTTTGCTATGGATAAAGCAGTATTTTCCCCAATGACTAATGAAAGATATATTCTACTTTGTAATTTTTATTTTTAGATTAATTTATTTGTGTGTGTGTGTGTGTGTGTGTGTGTGTGTGTGTGTGTGTGCACGCGCATATACGTTTATGGGCTTGTGTGCAGGACTTACAATTGGGTTATCTAGCTTGATGGCCAACAACTGTGCCTGCTGAGCTGTCCGGCCGCAGTCTGTACTTTTAACAATTCACCATTCTTCTTTATTAAGTTGCCTTCCTGAAAGTCTATGAAGAGAGTCCAGGTAGTTGCTGAGGGTGCAGTTCAGTGGTCAAGCACTTGCCTTGTGTGCACAAGGCCCTGGGTTGATCCCTGGCCTGGGGTAAAGCAGACCTGTTGCCCAAATTCACAAAGTTCTTTTTATAATTAAACACTGAATATATTTACTGCATAATTTAATTTGCCATTGACTCTTTTGACTCTTGGATTATCAGTGTGATATCCATCGTTTCTTGTTTGCTTTAGCTGTACGCCTGGCCTCTCCTTGAAACTGTGTTCTCAGAAGTGCTGACAAGAGAGGAGTGGCTCCGCTTGTTTGATAATGTCTTCTCCAACCACCCTTCCTTCCTCCTGATGGCTGTGGTGGCCTACAATACCTGCTCTAGAGCACCTTTGCTCAACTCTACTCTTAAGGATGATTTTGAGGTAAATACCCATCCATGGAGAAGGTTCTCTAGACTGGAAATATGGTCAATGGTAGAGTGCTTGCCTAGCACACACAAGGCCCTGGGTTCCATCCTATCACCCACCAAGTCAACAACAAACCCCAATCAAGAAGTTCTCAAATCTCATTTGTTTATTCTAAGAAGTACATTTCTTTACTGAGAGCCTACAGGGTCGGGCATTGATGTTAGGTGGTGGAAATGTAATAGATAAAATGCTGGACCACATCCCTGGCCTCGTGATTATTGACAAGTGGGTTGTTATAACTGTGCTGTTCTCTCCTTTGTAAAGAGCATTTAACACTTGATTGTTGCTTGTTCTTTGAATGATCTCATGCGTGGCTTCTTTGGTCTGTGTTTGTCCGGAAATGTGTATAGGTAGAACTTGAGAGTTTTACTGTGCGCAGCCAGTTTCGAATTTTTGAGACAATGGCTTGTTATGTAGCTCAGGCTGGCTCAAACTCAGCCTGTAGCACAGGCTAGCCTGGAACTCACAGCAGTCCTCGGCCTTTGCCTCCTAGTGCTGGAACTATAGGCCTGAGACCTGTGATAGCAGCACTAGGAGGCTGAGGCAGGAGGATCACAAGTTTGAGGCTAGTTTGGACATTGTAGCAAATTCTGCACTAGCCTAAACTGTTCCACAGTGACAGAGAGCCTCCTCTTCCCCTCTCTGTGCTCCCAGGACTCTGGCTTCATAGCTCAGACCTCACCCAGCTAGTGTTTTCCCCAATCTCTTTAAGGCCAGTTGCTCTGTTTCTCTTGCCCTGTGAATGTGCGTCTCTGCATCTCATGGTGTCCTCGTTTTTACTGCTCCTGCGTAATAGCGAGCTTTACTGCGTAAACTCTGATTTAAACATCAAGTTTTCTTACAGTATTTTTTTCACCATCGGAATAACCTGGACATAAATGTTGTAATTAGAGAAGTTTATCGTCTCATGGAGACTACGCCTGCTGATATTCATCCAAGAAGCATGCTGGATGCTTTTGTTGCATTGACCAAAGGGCAATATCCCATATTTAATCAATATCCAAAGTTTATTGTGGACTATCAGACACAGGAACGAGAAAGGATCAGGAATGATGAATTGGATTTCTTGAGAGAGAGGTAATCATGTAATCATTCTTGATATAAACGAGACAGGCTTGATATAAATAAGAAAGACTTTTTCTTCAGGTTATTTTTATTTATGTGTATATATGTGTCCCTGCATGGGCTTGTGGGCACTGTGTGTGTGCAGGTGCCCATTGAGACCAGAGGATAGCAGATCCCCTGGAGTTACAGGTGGTTATGGATGCTAGAAATCGAACCTGGTCCTCTGCAAGAGCAGCACACAATCTCAACCTCTGAGCCTCTTCTCCAACCCCAAGTAAAAACTTTTAGTGAAAAGTCAGTTTGAATTCTAAAGTATGTTCATAAAATCCAAATTCGAAGACTAGAGGTGTCTTCAAAGATGCCTAATTCCTCCTGTATCTGAAAATAAACCACATAGTGGACTTTCAGCAGGTCCTACATTTTATATCTTGGTTGTTTTGAATTAAATTACTTCACTTTCTTGTTTGTGTTTTTCTAATAATAAATATTGTCTACTTCAGGCAGACAGTTGAAAATATGCAAGCTGAAGTCGATGAACAGAGAGCTGAGGATGAGGCTTGGTACCAGAAGCAGGAGCTGCTTCGTAGAGCTGAGGAGACGAGAAGAGAGATGCTTCTGCAGGAGGAAGAGAAAATGGCCCAGCAGAGACACAGGTGCAGTCCTCGTGACCCAGCAGGGACACAGGTGCAG